TGCCTCCTTTGCCATAAGACCAGAAGAACTGGATGGTTCCTGGCTACCATTACTGAATATTTTGATCAAAGATTCTATAGAAGAATATTAATCAAAAGGGGGAAAATTCAGAACAGAATTTCAAATTCTCATGAAATCCAAACTTTCTGGAGCCATGGAGGCTGGATGAACCCCCAAAACTATTGCCCTGAGATAACCTTTAAACCTTAAACCAAAAATATCCCTTGAAAGTCTTCTTAAAACTAAACAATAGTTTAGCTTAACTAGTAAAGAGCATCTGCCTTGAGCGTTATGCTCTTTTAAGATCTATCTATATGGAATCAAATTGACAGCACCAACTTGAAAGATTGGATGGGAACCTTAGCGATCAGTGAGTTTATGTTAATGGAGGAGGAACAACTCAGAAAAGGAGGGTGAGAGTGGCTGCACAACTCAAAGAATGTAGTCAGTGTCACTGAATTGTACATGTAGAAACTGTTGAATTGGTGTATGTTTTGTTGTGTATATTCTGAACAACAACAAAAATAAAATATTTTAAAAAATCCAGCATTAACAAGGATATGTAGAATTGGAACTCTCGTAGATTGCTGATAAGAATGTAAAATGGTGCAACTTTTTTAGAAAAGTTTGGCATTTTCTTAAAAAAGTTAAAGTTGTGTTATGTGCCATTGAAATAAAGAATTACCTAGGTATATATACCCAGGAGAGTTGAAGAACTTGTACACAAATATTTACAGCAGCATTATTCATAGTAGCCAAAAAGTGGAAACAACCTAAAAGTCCCATTAGCTGATAAATGGACAGACAAAATGTGGTATATGTCATACAATGGAATATTATTCAGCCATAAAAAGGAATTAAGTCCCGGTATGTGTTACAACATGGATGAACTTCTGTAAGATTATTCTAAATGAGAGAAGCAGACACAAAAAGCCACATATTTTATGGTCCCATTTATATGGAATATTCAGAATAGGCAAATTTATAGATACAGAAAGTAGGTTAGTGATAGGAGCTGGGGGTTGGGGACCATGCATTGGAGAGGGACAGCTTATGGGTGTGTTTGTTTTTGGAGCTGTGAAAATGTACAATTTGATAGTGGTGATGGTTGAGAATATACTAAAAAATCACTGCACTGCATATTTTAAAAGGATGAATCGTATGATATGTGAATTATATCCAAATAAAGCTGTTATTTAAAAAAACAAAAAAACACAGGGGTTGGACGCCTACATCTTGTTTATTGAAAAGTTCTGACGGAAAACAAATTGCAGAGTCTGTGTTTCTGTCTTCTGTAAAACTCATATGCCGTGTTCGGATTGTGGACTGTGCGCTTTGCTGCACTCTGCCCATGTCTGACCTGTCCCAACACAGGGCTTTCTCTAACAAAGCTGTTAGCTAGGGCCTCTAATAGCGGTGCAGGTCCCGAGATGCCCCCCACCCCGCCCCCCGGCTCGTCCGCTGGTGGAGACGATGGCAGACGTGGAGCAGGGCTCCGCGGAGGCTCTCCGTTATACAGTACAGAGTCTGTGGCTCTGTCCCCGCGGGTGGCACACGGTCTGCGCAGATGGAAGGCGTGCGCTCTGGTGCGGGGTTGAGACGCTGCGCGCAGGCCGCCAGCCCCTGGAATGGGCCTTCGCCTCCCACTCCTGCCGGGCTAAATTAACCTCTTAAAAGCTTCTCATGTCCAGTGTCGGGATAATGGGGCGCTGGGCGGAGGAAGGGCGGACGCTCTGGGATGAAAGCAATGTGCCCTGTGGCTGCGGCTTTGCCGGGCGCGCATGCATTCCTGGGCGGCGGGATCTGCGTTTGATCTGAGCTGTTTGTAGGGAGGCCCTCAGGATGGGGATTGTGCCGGGCAGTTGGCCTGCGTCACACTGTGACACCTGGGCTAGCGTGGTGCTCAGGCAGTGTCGCATTACCCAGCAAGCGAGGTAAGCACACTCTTACTTGTGCTTACTTACTAATCTGTAGTGAACAATTGCACATTGGTTTCACATCTTTGATTGGGGCGGGGCGGGGGGGGGGACGGATGAAACTGTGCACTACAGATTAGTAAATAAGTAAAAGTAAACCCGTGCTTACCTTGTTTACTGGGTAATTTGTCCCGCCAGGGATTGTACGTTTGAAAAGAGGCTTTGATTCTGTAGGAAGGTGCCAGAAGGAGACAGATGCCAGCCATACCTAGAAGCAGAATCTTTGATGTGGTGAAAAAATGTGAAATTGTTCACTGCAGATGATCTGGTAAGCAAGGAAAGCACCATGCTTGCCTTTGCTATTGGATAATCTGCCCCTGCACATGTCACCTCCTCTGGGAAGTCGTCTTAGACGTTTGGAGCAGAGTTACTCCCTCCTCAGCGTTCCGGTGCCCTTTGTACTTATTTCCTGTAGAGAATTATTCTATGGCATTATATTTATTTCTCTGTCCCGTGTGTGAGCTCAGGCAGGGGCCAGGAACAGCCTGTTTCCCAGTGCCTAGAACGTAGAATGTGCTCAGTAACTGTCAGATGGTGAGCAGCATGGACATAATTCACCTCTCCTTGCTCCCTAAGTGATAAATAAGATGCATAATTTAGGGGCGGGCTTAAAGGCACAGACGCCACCGTGTATGCCCAATTCACAAACCTCAACCAAGCGCTGCTGCTTAAGTTTCTTTTATGAGATAAAACGTAAAGATTTAAAAATTTGTCTACTATTTTTATCTACCTTGAACTTTTTATGAGTGTCTGATACCTTCTGGGAATTAGGTTAGATTCCAATTTACTTTGTCCTGGAAGAAGAACCTTAACCTTTCCTGTTTTCAGCTAATACCATGAACCTCTGTTCCTCTCAGGCCTTTTCAGTTAAATATCTTGGAGGGCGGATGCTGTATTCTGAGGGGCAGCTCTGAGACCTCCACTTGGGAAGCCATCCACAGGTCCAGTAATGAGCAGGAATCAACTTTGTATCCAAACTCCCCAGCTTGTTAAAAAAAGGAAAAGCATAAATCAAACAGTTTTTAATTTTTAGAAGACTCTGGCCTTGCATGTGGACTACATAATAGAATTTTCCATTCCAACAGAAACCTTTGGTTCCGTAATGGCAAAACATTGTTAACAGGGGCTGTTCATTCACTCAGCAAATATCTTTTCATTTCTAAATGGTTGAGAATGTGGACTCTTAATTTCCCTGTGCCTCATTTTCTTCACCTGTAACGTGGAAATAATAACGTACGCACCGTATAGGGCTGTTGCGGGATTAAGTGATGTGTGAGGTGCTGAGAACCGTGCCCAGCACTTAGTGGTGCTCAGAGTTAGCTGTTTTTATTGTAGTGATCACTCCCTGCCAGGTGTGCTTGGTAAGGGCTGGAGGAGTCAGGGTAACATTAGTACTCCGCAGGCTCCGCAGCCCTGTTCTCTCCCGCTCCAGCCATAATCTACACATGAGGTTGCTGCAGCTCTGAACGGGTCTCATCTGGGCCCTTGCGGGGTGTCTGTTTCATCTGAGTCTCATCACTGTTGGGTCACAGACACCCCAGTGTAGTAGAGCCTGGGCCGTAAGTAGACAAGGGTGAGTAGAGCCTGGCACCCTCTGCCACAAATGCCCCCTCAGGCTTCCCAGGCTCGCAAAGGCTGCTCCAAGTTCACTCGGCATCTTGGAGCCGCGGAGTCAGGACAAGGGTTGTCTCCGGGTTCTGCCTCTCCTGCAGTGCGATGCACCTTAATTTGTTCCACTTGTCTCTGACTGCTGAGTATTTAGTTGTCAAAATAGCATGGACTTCGGAGCCGGACTACCTGATTCAGTCTTCTTAGAATGTGAAGAAGACTACCACTTCTCAGTGTGAAGTCTTTAACCCCTCTTAACTCACTTTTCCACTTGAAAGTGGAGATATTAACTGTACCTATAAAGTTCCGCTGGATCAGAGGATGGAATGCTGCCAATTTAATTAGCCATTTAGGACAGTAATAAACAATTACAGAACGGGACATTGTGACCCCAGGGTCACTGGTGGGGCTGTTTGGTGAAGCCCCGATTCACTGGAATTCCCAGGGACATGGGGGTAGGGTAGTTTTGGAGGAAGTGAATTTTCTGGGTGATTTTTGTTCAGTGATTATTTAAAATCTTAGTGTAATGCCTGGGTCTACTTCCTATTTTGCTAGCTAAAGTCTCTCTGGACATAATCACCAATTCCTTCTTCAGAGATCTAGAACAGGTGTCAATTCTGAGCACCCAAAATTATCAAGGCCTAAACCGTGGTGGCATAGTGGTTAAGAGCTACGGCTGCTAACCAAAAGGTCAGCAGTTCGAATCTACCAGGTGCTCCTTGAAAACCCTATGGGGCAGTTCTACTCTGTGTGCTATAGAGTCGCTATGAGTTGGAATCAACTCGATGACAAGGTTTTTTTTTTTTTTTTTTTTTTTTAACAATGAAAGAAAGTGTAGGGGTTGGACTGAATCCTGGGATCTCCTCCTGGCCTTTAAAAGAAGTATTTTAAGATCCCAGTGATTGATCCCCTGGTTGATCTTTATTGCTTTTTACTAAAAAGGAGAGAAATAAAACAAAGTTCTGGTGAGGTTTCTGGCCACGGTGGCTTCTGCTAACTGGAGGTTTTTATTGTATATTTATAATTGTATGTGAGATAGAAGGGGCACAGTTCTCACAGGTGGTTGGGTTTATATAAATGAGAATAGTCAGGACTGTTAGTGGGCATAACAAGGGCTGGATGTGGAGGCAGAAGGTTGGGTTTGATGTCCAGGTGCTCTCCTTAGCTGTGTGACTCCAGGCAACTCACTACACTGCTCTGGTCCTCAGTGTCCTCGTTCCTGACATGCCGCTACTTACCTGTCCTGCCTGCCTTGCAGGACTGTTGTGAGGCTCCATTCTGAAGCTCCCTGGGACTGTCTTGTGCTGGAGAGATGGGAGCGGGGTTGGCAGGGTTGTTTCTTTGTGCTGGGCTGTGTGTGTTTGGGGGTATGCTTGGTGGTCCTGAGAGCTGCAGAGATTGTTTTTCTCACTACAGGTCATTTCATGGGCAACAACACAGTGCTTGATGTTTTGCGGCGTGAAGGGTATGAGGTAGAACACGCCCCCGCTGGACAACCCATCAACAAGTAACCTTCCTGCGCTTCTATCCTGGTTGGGGAGCAGCTGAGGGGCCGAGACCCCCACAGGGCTGCCTGGGCGTCAAGGTGGGTTGTTATCCTGAGGGACTCCAGAAGACGCCAGCACAGCTATTTTCCCCAGACCCAGGGAAATGACCATTAAACGGACACTGGGCACCCGGCTCAGCTGACAGCTGTGTGGCTGAGGCTTGTGTCAGACATGAGTTGGCTGGCCACCCTGCCCTTTTCCTCAGCAGCTTTTGGGACAGAAGGAAGGTGAAGGGGAGGTTGCTCCATGGTCTTGGGGGCTCCAGGAGGGATGGTTAGTTTAAACGTTCAATGCCTCTCAGCCTAGGCTTTTGGAAGTTTTAGGGAGGCTGAATGGTGGAATCAGGCCCACAGTGATAAAAAGGTCTGAAGGGACCAGAGGTGCAGGAGGTGCCTGTCTGACCTGTCTTGGGGGCAGGAGCAAAGCCCTTTCTCTTTCTCTGAACTGTTTCTCCACCCTAGACTGATTTATTTCTTGTCTTTATGCAGAGCCACCCTCTGTCTGCCCCTGTGGACCCTTCTGTAAAGAACTCAGGAGGCCTGGACCCCAGCTCCTCTGACCCCTCGCTGGCCTCCCAGGCTAGTCTTCCACCCGGTTTCCAGTCCTAGTTGTACAGGGGGTCCCATTCCCCCTTTCCTCACGCCCACTCCCTCAGATCTGTGGTCACCAGTGCCCCCTCCTGGCAGAGATCTCAGATGTAGTGAGAATTCTCCAGGACGCAAACGCCCATGCCCTTCCTGAGGGGAGAGAGAGAGGGCGGTGGTCCAGCTTCCTGTCAGGCCCCTCTTTCTCCTCAGAAGACCCACCTTCACCTCCGTCAGCTCAAGCCCACTCCTCTCCCTGTCCCCTCACTCCAGAGGCTTCTGCCTGACAGTCTAGTTTCCATCCCTGGAACTGTGATCCTCCTAGTCTCCCTTGGCTACCTCCGGGGCCTGTCTTTCCGCCACCTCTCTTCATACCCTAAAATCAGGGTGTCAGTAATAACAGTTCTGCGTATTTCTAAAGTACTTTCCAGTTTACAAGAACTTTTTCATGAGGTTTCTCATTTTTAACCTTCACGAGGGCCTCTGGTTTCGTCCGTTAAACCCTCTTTTGAGTTGCCCCTCTTCTCCAGCCCCATGGCCATTGCCCCTTTCCAGGCCCTTCTTCCTCTGGTTCATTCCTCACCTCCTATGGGAATAATCTTGTCAGTATCCCTCACTCAGAAGCCTTCAGTGGTTTCTCACTGTCGTTTTCCAAAGTCCAGTTCCTCCATGCTGTTGCCCTAGCACCCAGATACTACCCCTTTCCAATATGTATATGCCGCTTGCTTCAGAAAAACTTCTGTCCTCGTTGCAGCCCTTCTACCTTTGCTAATGCTATTTCCCCTGTCTGTGGGGCTCTCCCCCTTCCCCTGACTGGGAATAGCCTGCCTCTCCTTCGGTCAGCTCTGCTCCGGTCTCCATCCATCTCTCCTACCTGCTCTCCTTCAGCTCTGGGGGGAAAGCCGAGCCCCTGCTTGTTTCAGGGGAACTGGGGGTCTTCCCTCACCCACTGGACTGTGTGCTCCTGGGAAACGGGGTGTGTTGGCCCCCTGGTCTTTTCTCAGCTGCTGGCCCCAGGCTGGCTGATTGTACCAGGGTTTGCACACAATCCCTGGGGGAGGTGGTTGTTCCTAGGCTCCCTAGTTCTGCCTCTGACCCTGACACCTGCCCTGGGGGAGAGAGGTCAGGAATCGGATTTCTAAAAGGGCTCCAGGAGATTCTGATGCACAGTGAGGACTGAGAACCAGTGCGCTCATCAAACTGGGCTACTCACTCTTTACAAGGGAGGAAAGTGACATTTATTGATCAGTTGTCAGGTGGTGGTGGCCAGGTTCACATAGATACCCCGTTAGTACTCAGTCCACTCTGTGAGGTACATCATTTACTGGTGAAGAAACTGAAAAGTTACACAGCTAACCAGGGTCACACAGCTAACCAGAATCACACAGCTAACGAGAGTCACACGACTAACCAGGTCACACGGCTAACCAG